TAAGTGCTGTCCATCCGGCAGTATATGCAAATTTGCTGGCACCGAATGTCGGAAGCGTTGTCCAAAGTGTTGACTGAGCCGTATGGAGCTGCGACTGTAAAAAAGCATATTTGTAAAACAACAAAAATGAATTAAAACTTCCGCTTGCACGCGCTACAGAGAGTCGCGTCCAAAACCAAAAAGCCAAACATCAGACCAACGCGTCGCTCTGAACGTTGCAGAAGGCGACCAAAAGTCATTTCCAATCGCAAGTGAGGGCGGACAAAGAGACAAAGGCGGAGGTGGAGGTGGACTGCTGTGGGCTTTGACTTTGGCTGGCTGGCTATAGACATGGACACAGACACGGACACGTACATGACTTGGGTCTGGTTGTCCCCCACGTTGATAAGCCTTTTGGCAGCACTCGTTCAAGACACACTCTGAAAGTGTTGGACATGCTGGTTGCTGGTTGCCGGCCCTCGCCGGCCGCTTCACCAAAGGGGGGAACAGGTTTTCCCATGATCTTCTGACATTTTTCGGCTGTGGCACACATTGAAATGCAGTCAGTATACTAATTTATGCGGGCCAAAGTGGCCACAAATGTTTGCTTGAATGATGCATTTAATTTGTTGTTTCTTGCTCAAACAAAACAAAAACTGCTTTTTAATATGGGAACTCTCGTTGGGCTTAGCTATTAACAGGCCATACACGCAGTACGATTGAGCGCCAGCCAGAACTACGCTATGATTTTCAATCAGGTGTAGAAATTATCTGCCAGCTAAGCAAAAGTATTTGTAAAAATCTGGTTCAAGTTTTGACTGTGAAAAACGCTCCAGAAGCCGGAGAACTAGTTTAAAGCTAGACAGACAATATTTGGTATGCAGGCATATTTCACTTGAAATCATTTTTGAAGTTAGAACCTTTATTTATAGGGCAAAGCGAAGAAGCTAGATGGCTTGTTGGTGCGAGCTGAGGGTATCTCTTTGTCGAGCACGCTCCGCTACGACACTCTAACGTGTTATTTAATTGATTTTGTCTTCGTATTATCCAACACTGCAATTATACTTTGGTCAGTCTTCTCATTTTGATAGGTAATATTCAAGGCTCATTTTTAAATATATTTTTGTAATTTTTATTAAAGAATTATGTTGAACCATTAAAAATTGCTGGTACTAAACGCATTTGACGCATTAAATATTTATTATATGTTAACTCTTCTCTATCCAATTCACATCGCGCGTCCTCTCACACCATCTAAGTTGAATAAAACATCGATAAGTATTTGTATTTTGCCTCTAGTATCAAACGTACTTTGCGAATTTGTTATGGGAAGCGCACAAAAGAATACAAAGATATAAATGGTAAATGTGTGCATCAGAAATTGTAAATAAAATATGTACATGTTTTATAGTACAACTAAAAATAACCCAGACAAGAAAAGAACGCCCCCTTTCAGCACGACGAAGATTAAATACCCTTGCATAAAAGAAGTTCTATTGTGATAAGCTCCTGCTCATATGTTTATCATATAAGATCTCAATTCCTTAACGATCATACCTAGGGTAGCTATGGGATATAGCGGTTCGATTCAGCAAGATATATACCAGTTTCTAAGAATCAGGCAGAAGGACATGCCTGCTTCGTGCCGGCTGTTGATACTAGTCAAGAGTACATAGATATATACATATTCGGATCGAAGATATATGTTGTGGCAAAACTTTAATACTCTCTGCTAGGGCATATGAATTAAGTGAGCTGCAAGACTTCGCTATCGAAATGCGTGTCGCATGCGGCAGAGTGTCACGTACAAAAGGACTTAAAAGTGAAGGTAATCGAACTTCACGGGAGCAATAAGTCTGATAAAAAAAAAGGTAAATACAGAAACGTGAACATGCTTATGTGTGCATTGGCCCAACCGACAAATCAAAAATTAAAAAAAAAAAAGAAACCCAAACACACACACACACACAGATACAAATATTATGTGAGTGTTATGAATGAAATGAAAAATGCTGATTATGCTGGATGTGGTGTAGGTGGTGCGAGGGTATTTCCTATATGGGCTGTAAAAGCCAGCGACAAAAGCCAATTTAAATTGAAGCTTCCTGGGCTCATATACATGCCATGCGTCCCAGCCGACTTTATGGAATTGTCATTATAAAAACTCCAGCCAACAAAGTCACCGAGGCGTGCAGGGGCCGCGCCATAAAAGCGATAAAAGTAAAAACACGGCTGAGCTAAAATTTAGCTACTAACAAAAATATTGAATAAAACTCGAATGTGCCACGTTTGTTGAATTCATACTTAACGTACATGCATACTGCTTTCTGATGGCGAGTGCGAATACGCAGTTCTAATGCCCTGTTTTACAAAATGAAATAGAGTATATTGGATTTGTGCAATATTCGCGGCTTATGCATTTATTTAAACTGCTAACATCTATGCTCAGTCTTAAGTGAAGCTGCATACAATTTGTCATCTAGAGTACACAAGACATTCGCTAAGAATCGAACATAAAGCTCTGAATATTAAAAAAGCTGTACATCCTAACAAATCAAATAATCTGAATTAACCTACAAATCAAGATGCGATTCATGGCTCGAAGCAACGAATCGCTTTAAGCTTCGAATCGCGAACACAGTTCGAACAATTCAGTTTTATTAAACCATGCATTGTATATATAGTGCGTCTAATGGAAATAGGTATAAAGTTTGGAATTACAAAATATTTTATTTAAAAAAAATGTGATATTGTCTTTCAATTATCTTTCATATTGAAGCATTCATATCTATTTAGATTGCGTTCACGTTGTTTTTGGGCAAGGTTCGTTCTGTATTATATGAACAAAGTATTACGCAGTCGGTTACACCCGACCTCGACCATCTTTTTTGTTTCTTTTCTGCATCCAGCCATGCCTGTGTGCTATATGCATGTGCTTAAAAAACTCTAAACGAACTGCGTACAAGTTACCAGCAGCCTTAACTCAATCTCCAATTTAGTCATATGTTGTTTATATGATATTACATTGTAGATTGAACATATGTAGAAGCTTTAAGTATTATATGAAACCTATAAATCAAAATAAACTATTTCCGCTGTGGCACTTTATGTTTATGTTTGCCTTACCCGGAATTTCAATTTGCTTGATAATATTGTTGAAGAGTTAACGAATCGGAACGAACAGCCCGATCCCTCCAATCGTACGCCAGATAGCGCTCAGCTTATCAGTTCCAAAGCGCCATCGCGCAGAGTTCCTTCACCTTTTCCTCATATTTCTTGCCGTTGTGCGTGACACACATATACATGGACGAGCGCATGGTACAAGCATTTGTTTAAACATCTGTGTGTGTGTGAGTGAGTATAAATATTTGTTACGGTAGTCTCTGCATGTATGTATATATAAATGAGTGTAGCTGCGTGCGTGTGTGTATTTGTGCTCCTGCTCTTGGTGGGGAGCTGGCAACTTTGCGTGAGTTTCGTGTTGACCCACAGGCAAGGGATCGAAGCAGCGGCACATGCCGCAAACAGCTTTCCAACAATAAACAAAATGCGGTATGTTGCCGTTTGTTATTTTGTTTACATTTATTACAAATATGTTGCATACCCTGTAGCAATGAATGTGCTCAAATAGGGCATTATAAATGGTATGCAATAAGCAGAAAACATGTAATGCATACTTGTACATGAACATGTTCAACGTGAGTTTTCACAGCCAAGTTTGAATAGAGTATAGCTCTGTCGGCTACTTGCAGCGGATAGTTGCATTTCTCAATTTAGCATTTATCTGCTTTTCAATAAATTGAGGTTTTTTTTTTTTGTATCTGTATTCTTACTTATCTAGCTACTTATCTATACGATTTTTAAACTCTTTGTTCATGCCAATCAGCCGCCCATTATCAAATTTAAATTTTTGATTATTTTAGTGTTTAAAGTACGATAAAAGTAAATTTCAGCAGTTAAATATGGCTTTTATAATATACGATATATATGCCAAATTTTATGGCACAGCTGGACTATCGGTAATAATATACATTCTCTTACTTCTACAGCTATGTGGAATTGGTATGTAATCCAAGCGAGTTCTCTTGCCTTTTTTATTCCACTAAACAGATTATCAAAACGGACAAACTCTCTCTAAAAATCATCATAAATAGTTGATAGGTTTCTCTGCTGAATAAGTAAGCGAAGGATATGCACTGCAAATCCCAACTGGGTTGGCTGTTGCCATAAAAACAAAAGACACAATGGAGTTGGTACGCACTAAATACCACCAAACAATTAAAAACATAACGATGCCAATCAAAAGTTTTGTTTTTTTTTTGTGTTTGTATTAACTGACAAAACGGCTGGAGAACAATATTTTTATGGCTTACAACCAAAACTTTTATTCTCAGCCAAAAATGAATTTCATATGCTGTCGACTCTGGCTGGCAGCCATAAAATGCCGATTTATTGTTTTATAATTGAAAGCAATAAAAATTTGAAAAAAAAAAACGCTGCAGCAACAACAATCATTGTCAGCTGATGCTGTGTGGGCGTTTTGGGTGTGAGTTGTACTCTGTGAATACTCGATTCGAAATGACGAAAAGCACGAATCGAAATAATCACAAATGTATTGGAAGTAATGACATCAGTCTGTCAGTCGCTTACTATTCAATTGAATTCAATTCAAGTCAACTTTAATTATTTGGGTTCGACAATATTTTCATTTGCCTGTTGTTCTTGGTTAGCAATTTGCCATACAATTTTATCGAAATTCAACAATGCAGCGACACAAAAAACCAGAAAACAATAATAATATCATAGTCGGGTGTGCCCGACTAGCTGTTACACTGTACCCACTGAAATATGTTGAGCCTAACGAAAGCTTTGGCGTATATAGTCCCAAGGCCGCAACATGGCAAAAAGAAAATGTTTTCAAAATTGTAAACGTTATGTTGCAAATAAAAAAATAAGGCTTAAATCAACGATTTAAAAGATAAAAAGATTGAGTTCTAAGTTAAGTTTCTTTGCTTTTTTTGTCTGAATAATATAAATTTTAGGTTTCGAATTTATTAATGCAAATTCAATTAAAGTTAAGTACACATAAATTTAAACTCAAATGTCATGGTCACAAACCATACTTATAATGCCTTGGACAGAGAATTTGATATGTTTTGGTCAAGAGTCAATTGTTATGTTGTGCTGAATTTTCCGTATGAAGATAGATGTGAATTTGTGAAAAAGGCTAATTGCTTATCCGGAACGAATTTTGTGCCATACATACAGTTATTAGCCTGTAACTTCAATTGTAAAAATCGATTTGAGGAGTTTGCCTTCGTGTCCGTCTTCCTGTTGCTATGCGTCGAGTTGCTGCTCCTTCTCGGCTATGCGGTCCATTATTACTTCAGTCCAGCGTTGAAGGTCGCTACGCGGATGCTCCACATGAGCGAACATCTCGCTGGCGTGACGGTATTGACCCTTAGCAATTCAATGCCGAATCTGTTTAGTAATATGATGGATCTTAAAGAAGAGGTGCCCGTATATGCCAATTGCCTCTCAGAGGCATTGTTTGTGGTAATGTTCGTAGGGGGATGGATTTGTTATATTAGTCCGTTTAAGATGAACTCTTCTTCAACCTTGCGCGATCTACTCTTCTTGCTCTTAGGTGTGCTTCTTGTGGAATATTTAATGCAGACAGACGGAGTAATGACAATGCCCGAAATCATCGGAATACTATTTTTCTTCCTTCTTTATATAATCATCAATGTTGTCGATGTGTATCTCGTAAGCTTGGCCATGAAGGGTAAGTAGCGCATTTACCGAGCTTTGTCTGTATTTATCTAACTGATTCTCTTGAACCAGCTTATAAGAACGAATTAGAAGAACTAAATAGTATGAAACAAACAGAGGAGATTGCAGCAAAACGCGAAATATTGAAAAAAAAATATAATTCAATTGCAGCGGATCACCGCGTGCATATATTGAAAAGGAAGCCGACATACATCAGCAATAATTATGATAAGTTCAGCTTTATAACTACACGATCGACAGTACATGTAACCCTTGAGAGGGACTCTGCTTCTCGCTCTGATATGTACAATATGGATGCTAGTAGGAATGCCAATCTCTTTACGGACTTCTTCTGTGCATTCCGGCCCGTTGCTTTAGCTGATTGGCGCAAGGCTAATATGCTTATGCGCATCTTTTATATTGTCAGGGCTCCCGCAGTAATAGTATGTGTGATATATATACCTTTGGTAGATTACGAGTTGGATAAAAATGGCTGGAGCAAGCTCCTGAATTGCCTGCATATTGTCATTAATCCGGCGATCACAATCATATTTGGAAAGGCTTTGATGTTCAGAGATAGGTCGAGGCTCTGGTATTACAATATACCTGATGATTGCATATACGGCTTTTACTCGTTTGCAATAACAATTCCAATTGCTATTTTTACGTTTTGGCACTCGAGAACCAGTGCCCCGCCAGCATATCATTGGTTATATATAATCATGAATCTGACTGGATCTATGTTTTTGACTTTTCACTGTGCCTGTGAAATTTCTCTGATAATGGATGTTTGTGGTCACATATTAAAGGTTCCGTCCGACTTCATGGGTGTAACAGTAAAAGCCGTTGCCGACTCTATTCCTGATCTGATAGTCAATACTTCGATGGCTTTGCTTGGGTATGAAAAAATGGCCTATGCAGCATCAATTGGAAGTTCTTTCTGCGCTTTAATTCTGACTACAAGCACTGTGATGGCAGCCAAGAGTCTCACCGGCAAAATTGTTACGGCTAGCAGTATGACCGGAAGGTATGGTGATAATGCGTATATCCTGATAATTCTTGGTATTCTTTCAACTCTGCTGTGGACAGCGTTGTTAAATTTCAATGCTCGCCGTTCTGTTGGCTTATTTTCAATGTTCATCTATCTGCTCTATCTAATTTTTGTGGTACTTATTAGAGCCGGAATTATCCATCAATTCGCATATGACAGCTTTCTCTCCGATGCCTATGAACCCTAGAATGAGCGGTGTGTGCATGTTCGTCAGCAAAACATATCATATAAATTCAACCAGTATATAATTTTAAATAAACTAGAATTACATAATACAAAATATTTGCATTTTTCTAAGCAACTACAGTTGAGCGTGGTCGACAACAAAGTCCCCTGTAGATCTCACTTAGTCAACAAAATAATTTGAATTTTAGCCGCGTAGCCCTATAAAATTTCAATAAATGACATTCAAATGTACGAAATGTACCAAATCTCAAGATTCGGTTCACTTTTAAGGCAAGGAGCGGAAGTTATTCGAATAGTGAAATCTGTCTCATCTCCGAGAGTTATTCACTTATAATATTGAGTGTGGTATAGGAGCATATATATTTCGAGGCTTTAACATTGGTAGACGCAGAGGGTAAGGGGTTTTTATAGTTCTACTTCTGCCAAAAATAAAACTTTATTGAAAAGCACAGCATGAACTGATCGGACTGACGATGAGTTGACAGAACACTACCGTATGGGAATATATTTTAAAAAAATTAATGTAATTAGTGAATAAACGAATCGACTTACGCGACATACTCATACCATAAAAGTCATTTAAGTTATATTAAATGCTTGTCCTATATTTTGTTTATACAGCAACTATATTCTGTTTACCTTTGCCGAAAAGATAAAGTGCTTGGCAACTTGTGTAAAGCAGATTTTTGTGAATGCAGCAAATGAAAATGTTTTCAGGTGCAAAATATTTTATAATCTTACAAAATTGTTGCATTCACTTATTATTGAAGCTTCGTTAATGAAAAGAATTGTGTGAATTTATTTGTTTTATTTTGGGTTATCAATAAATTGACTTTCAAATTTGCTAGTAGCTTTTGGCTAAATCAGCAAAACAACTGCAACTGAACGAGTTTTCCCTGAACACAGAAAAATAACAATGCCATGGAGAAGCTGAAAGCAATTTCCAAACAACTTAGAAAACAAACAGCAACAGCGAAATAAAAAAAAAATTGAGAGATAGACATTCGAAAATATTTCCTGGTAAACAACAGCTGAAACTCCAACTGCAGCTCGAACCGTAAGTGCAACTGCGACTGCAGTTGCAATTGCTCAGTTGAGCCAGGGAAATAATTGTAATTGACACTGGAAATGTTGCTGCTGCTCTTTGGGATGCTGATTATACAGTCTTCTTGGCCTTCGAGTCATCAGTTTGCCGTGTGATGACGCGTCATTTTGTCATGGTTTAGTAAGTTTCATTTAATTGCCCCCGCCTGGAGGGGGTTACAGCTCTTGCTCGGTGCGAAACATCCAAAGTTCATTTGCGCAGTCTCTAATGCAAATAATAGAATTTCATTAAATTAACAAACGACACGCAAAATTCATCTTACATTCAGACAAAGTCCAACTACAGCTCCGACTCCGCAAAGCGAAGTAATTAATTGATGAGCAGCCATAGGAATTAACCCCTCAGTCCCCTCAGATGGCAAATAGCTTAAAGTGGCTGCGTTAAATGACGACTTTTGTACGTGCAATGTCATAGGCCATTAGCTGGCTGGCTGAGTTTGGCGCTCGCCCCAGCTACGCACTTTATAGTTGGCCACATTTGTGGGTCACATGCAACAGTTTGTACGCAGCCCAACCTCGTTACTATCAACGGGCTTTCAACGTTCCGAATCGATAAAATTGTGTGTGCTTGTGTGTGTCTGGTTTCTGGGTGTGCTTGGAAGGCTCTTAAAACAATTCAAGCCAGCAATTAGTTTGCACGAGCAGTTGCCTACATTTCTCCGTGGCTATCAAACAGCGTATAATTCGTATGACGTGCCACCGCTTGATGTTGACTTGCGCCTATTTATAGGCGATACTTTTTCAACTGCATCATTCACTGCGTGCCACAACCACACTCGCGACGACCTTGAGTGCCACTGTACAAAACGCTTTGACTTGATCTTGATTATGACATGTTATTTCGTTTTAAATAAGCAGGCCAATGGCAGAGGCTTATAAATAATAATAAATTGCAAAATAACTAAATGCGGTTAAGACAATAATCCTTTAGTGCAAAACACATAGAGGGAACATCAGGCTGCTTTATTTTTGTTGTGCCTATGGCCCGGTAAGAAACCTTCTTGCTGACTTGACGAAAATGGTTAGGCCCAGCGGGGCCAAATCGGACGACTAACCAATTCTTAAAATAATATGCGGATGGCATACTCACCAAGGCAGTCACATATGTCGGATAGAGGTTTTCACATTCTGTCTCTTCTCCTGTCTCTGGAGATTATTGTTTCTGCTGAAGTGTAGGAGTTTCATACCAAGTTCTCAACTTCAATAGTCGACAGGCCGACAGACATGCAGCAGCCAAGGATGTCAGTCGCAATCCAAGCCGCTTGCTCACGTTAGCCAGAATGGGCAGGATCCATATGACTGCCATTGAGCGGTGTTGGGTTTGGTTTCGAGCTGCCACCGAGCCGCTGATGGGCTTGCTTTTGATGGTGTGAAATGACAGCACCTTAATATGAGCTTACGGGCGTGACGGCCTAGATTGATAGGTTCTTTAAAGTTTCTGTTCAATTCATAATCGGTTAAGCCGCTTGCCAGACTGTATCATCCGTGAAACCCAATTATTAAGACTGGTTAACGGTATGTAATTAATGTAATCGTATTATTTCGACTACAATTCATAAGGTTTTCGATGAATATCAAAGCAATAATACAATAGGCCAATCAGCTGATCACAACTTTTTATCGCACTCATATTTTGCATATATTTTTGTTGTTTACTTAATTGAGAATCTTGTTGCTAAATTTATCAGTTTTACCAAGTAAAAGTATCGAAGTATCAAAGTATACCATAAATTATAATGTGTGGGATAACAAATTTAGTTTTTACTAAATTGGGAGCTATTTATTGTAAGCAATTGATCTGAGATTTAAGATAATTGTCATATTTAAGCTGGATCACTGGATTACTATGTGGTAATAGCTTAAAGTTTTATTGAATCATTTGTCAATTTTGAGCATTTCGTTATATATCAACGATGTCAGTATCAAAACGTTAATCACTTACCAGCAAACAATCAATAATTGCACACTGGGCAATTGTCTAAGTCAGGTTGAGAGCCGATCAAGATGCGATGCATTACTGAGCCGCCATCAATCAGCGCTCGGGGACTATCTGCTGTTCGACTGTGGGTGCAGTGCACATGGCCAAGTTGCAAATTGTTTGGGCCAAAATGCAGTTTCGCACATAACTGGCAAATGACGCTGACGCTGACGCTGACGCAGAGAGTTGAGGAAGCGTTGCTCTGTGTGGCGGTGGGACGACGGCTTTACTAATTGATTTTGAGCCAGTTGGCACGTTTTTGGTGCAGTTCATTAGCGGAGCCGACTCAAGTCGACTCGAGAGCTGGGCTTGGCCTGACAATAAGTCTAGGAAAACAGAAAACAGACTCGGCAGACAGGCGGCTTGAAACGTTGGCACCTGGGACGTGCGCTGGCTCATAAAACTCTGTGCCCTGCGGCTAGACAAGGCGCAAATGCTGGCCTACAATGTGCCATTAAAGGTGGCTATTCTAGCCCGAGGTCTGCTCTTGCCCGTAGCTACAACAACATGGCAAATTCTTTGACTTATGTACCGTTTCTCTTCCATTTCAGATGAACGACAGCACATACAAAAGAAAACTTTTACAAAATGGATCAATTCACATCTCAGCAATACCCAGTGTACACCAGTGAATGATTTGTTCTTGGACCTGAGAGATGGACACCGGTTGCTGGCCTTACTTAGCACCCTAACACATACACAGCTGGTGAGTGTGTAAATAGACTCTGCTTATTTTTCATCACTCCTTGATATTTGGTCAATCTGTTAGTAGTAAGATTGTCACTAGGCGCAGCAAAGGACGTAGAATAGAGTGGGCCAAGACTGATTATAAGCTACAATAGAGTTAGATCACAAACATGTGTCAATGCCTGTGATCTAATTATGTTTTTTCTTAGTACATCCATCTCTATATTAGAAGCAAGTTGACTGACTGACCGATTGCTTGATAAAAGCAACTGATTAAAGTAGTTTTGGCAAATTTCACTCGCAAGTGTGGAACAATAGTGTCTCATTTGAGACAAATTGGCAGTATAAACGAAAGTTTATTTGTTGGCTTCTAGTTATAATTCCCAAATATATTTGTATAACATACCCTTGATTTAAATTTTCCACGAGCAAAAATGGTTGTAAAATATATGCCTAAATTTAAAGCGAAAATTTGCGAACGGACAAAGCCGCAAAAAACCAACTAATTATATGTATTTCTGAAAAGCGTCAACATTTATGCAAAAATCCCTATCCTACACTGTCATTAGTATTGATTTGGCTTATAAGATAAATCGTTTTGAACCCTATTTATGCTCGATTATAATTAGGTACAGATGATCTGCTTATTAATTGCACTCCAAAATGTCAAGCAAAATATTGTCTGTTTTGAAAACAAATTGGAATGACTATCTCCGGCACACCTGACATTAAATACTTTATTGTAGACATAACAATAGCTTTGAGGCGGAAGTTTATTTTTTAAGTTTTGGAAAGGAACTGTAAGATTGAGAGAAAGATATGGAATGTCTATTCGGCAGTGAATACTGATTAAGAACATATATACATTATGTTGTCGACATTTTTGTTACGTTACACATTTTGCCTCTAAATAAGTTATTATCAAAAATGCTGTTTATTAAACATTGATTTATTATATATATATACATACGAATAGTTCTGTTTATTTTGTGTTAATCATTTTCGAACAAGACTGCAAATGGATTTCAAATCAAACCGGTTTCAACCCGGAATTCCGATTTGCCTGAACTCTGCGCAAAACCAGTTGCCCAAAAAAAAAAAAAAAAAAAAAAAAAAGCAAACCAAATTTGATCCAATCATAAATTTTGTTTGATTTGACTTTTCTAAAAAAAAGTTATTTTTAAAAATGTTTTAGGTCGTCTTTTATTGACAATTGACAATCCTATCGATTAGATGACGATAAATTGGGATATATTTTCTAAAGCAAATGCTCTTACTTACTGTTTTCTTTTTATTGTGTATCGTTTTCTCTCTAGAAACCCGAGAAGGGTCGCATGCGCGTACACCACATCAACAATCTGAACAAAGTGCTGCAGGTGATCCAACAGCACGGTGTCAAGTTGGTTAACATATCTAGCGATGACATTGTGGGCGGCAATCCGAAGCTGACGCTGGGCCTTATCTGGCTGATAGCGCTCGAGTTCAATGGCCAGCATCTAGTCAAAAGCCATTCAAGCAATGGCGTTGAGAAATCCCTGCTGGCCTGGGCGAGACAATATACAGAGCCGCATGGACTGGGTCTCAATGACTTTGCCAGCTCTTGGGCAGATGGACGCGCTTTTCTCATGATACTCGCTGCACACCTGGACGAGCTTGACTTGGAAACGGCGCTGTCGCAGCACGCGCTGCAGCGCCTGTACCTGGCCTTTGACTTGGCGCACAGGCACTTCAAGATTGAGAAGCTGCTGGATGCGGAGGATGTGCACACACACAAGCCGGACAACAAATCCATACAGATGTATGTGATGTGTTTGTATCATGCGATGGAATCGATGCGAGCCACCGAGCGCGATAGAGTGCCCTGCACGAGCATCACAGATCTGGATGAGGTGCCGCTGGACGGCGAGCGGGAGCTCTACACTTCCGATAGTACGGCCAGTATTGAGTTGAAGTCTGCGGTGGAGTCAAGCTCGCAGCGTCCACTGAGCACCTCAACTAATGCCAGCTGCGGGATCGGCAGCTATCAGACAGCCCTCGAGGCGGTGCTGACTTTGTTGTTAGAGGATGAAGAGCTATTGTCACAGGAGCTGCCAGATCCAGAGAACTTTCAAGCCGCCAAAATGCAGTTTCATGAAAACGAGAGCTTTATGCTGAAGCTAACCGAACATCAAGAGTTTGTGGGCGAGGCGCTCGAGGCGGGCAGCAACCTGATAAATGAATCACAGCAAAAGGACGGCTCCAGTCTCTCCCAGGTGGACCAAAACGAAGTCCGACAACAGATGGTGCTGCTCAACGAGCGCTGGGAGACGCTGCGCTTGCGTGCATTGGACATGCAGGCCAAGATTCTAATGCGGCTGGCCGAGTTCCAGAAACAGAAACTAGAACAGCTTCGCCAATTTCTCACCAATGTCGAGGATCGCATCTCCCACATGAGCGATCTGGGACCCACCATAGCCGAGGCAGAGCAGCAGCTTGCCGAGGCACGACAGCTCAAGGCGGATCTGTGCGAGCAACAGGAGCTGGTGGACAGCATTAGCAGCATGGTGGTAATTGTGAACGATACTTCCGGTAATTTCAATGATCTCGAGGATCGACTGAGTGCGCTCGGTGAGCGTTGGTCCCATGTGGTCAAGTGGATAGATTTACGCACCGAGAAACTGCAACAATACAAATGCATCTCCCGCTGGCTGGATGCACGCGAACAGGATCTGAAGCGCATGGAAAGCCGGGATGTGACAGACGTCGGTGGCATCACACAGCGCATCAATGAGCTTAACTACTGCGCCAAAGATTTGCTGGAACTGCACCGCTATTTAATTGATCTGCGCCAAATGGTGGCCGCCACCCTACAGGATGGCGACGACAAGGGTGAGCGCGTGCTCATGCAGCTGGAAAGCTATGAGGATCGCCTGGATGCACTCAAGCAAATTTTGGAGGTGCAAACGCTGCGCATCGAGTCGAAAGGCTTCAACTTTGGGCGCGATCGCGCTAGCTACGATGACAGCCGCGTGGTGAGACCCGAGGGCTGGGTGGACTATCAAATGATAATACGATTCGGTGAGGACGAGGAGGACGAATATGAGCCAGAGCCAACGCAGCAGCAGCAGCAGCAGCAACAGCAGCAGCAGGAGCAACAGGCTGGTTTACATGAACCGGACGAGTTGGCCAGCAAGAAACGTAAACTGCGCAACGCGGACAACTTTTTTGCACTGGAAAATCAAATCCAGCATCACTTTTCGCATGTGCAGGACGTGGAACAGCAACTGCAGCAGCTGCAGCGCCAGAGCCTGCGCAATCAGTGCGAGCTGCTCAAAGAGCTGCAGGCCGAGAGCCAGCAGCGCGCCAACTCATTGCCAGAGCTCAAGAAGCTCTATGAGGTATGCGAGCAGGAGCAGCCAGGACGTAAGCTGCTGCTGGAGGCTGCCCAAATCAAGCAGCTCGAGCAACGCTATGCGGCGTTGGCTCAGCGCCTGGCCAGCCAGCACAGCGAGAGCAGCACGCTGCTGGCCAAGGAGCGTTATTATAATAGCCTAACTGGCTTTAAGCTGGTGCTGGCCGACTCGCGGGACTGGTACAAGCAGCACGCAGGCACTGCTAGCTGCCAGGAGCTGGAGCAGCGTCTCAGTCATATGGAATCACTTGCCACGGAGATAGCAGAGGCGCGTGAAACTACGGAGGCCCTAGACGATCAGCTGCTGGAATGGAAGCAGGACTTTGGCCTCTTCTATGACAGCTGGCATGACATGAAACAGGCCCTACAGGCGCTCATACAACAGCGTGGCGGCGAAAACATTGCTCAGCAAGTGCAGCAGCTCGAGAATTTTGTCAGCAAGGTGGCCGCGCAAAAGGTGCGCGTCTCCAATCTGGAGGCGATGCAACAGCAGCAGCAGTTGCTTAATCAATTAGTCGATGAGCTGGAGTCCCTGAAACCCTGCTATGAGCGTGTACCCGCCCATATGCTCAGCGAGGAGCTGCAGGCCGCCTGGCAGCGTCTGCCGGAGCAGCTCAGCGAGCGGGTCATCAAGCAAACCACCGCCATTGAGAACCTTAACCATTT